TAATAGGCTTCCAGAGATAGATACTGCATTGCATTTCATATCTGAAATTATCCATCAGCTGACCAACCAAAAGACCAGCATTGTAGATGAAATTCATTCTACTTTTGATGAACTCCAGAAGACATTAAATGTTCGCAAAAGTGTGTTGCTTATGGAACTGGAAGTGAATTATGGCCTTAAACATAAAGTGAGAGCTCTATTCTTGTCACTAAAATGTTGCTGGTTTTATAATGGGTGTATAGTATCATTGGGAAAAATGACTGAAATGGAATCTCTTTTACTGAAGAAACCATAGGAAATGGCCAGCGTGCCATATAAAAGTAACAGAATTCAACTGAAATTTGACTGTCTCCATTTCATTTTTATTATGTAGTAACTAATGTCTTGTACAAATAAACAGCTTCATAAACATTGCTATAACATTGGCTTGAAAGAAACAATAATTGGAGATGGTCTTAAATGAATATTTCTTGTTGGATTTTCAGGGCATACACATATTTCTTTGGCAGCGGTAGCGCTGAAGTAGAGGCCTGAGGGTGGCAGCAGCCAGCTGAGACTGCTGAAAGTCCCAGGCTTCTACTTCAGCCCCAGCACCCCCAGTGCCGCCGCCGAGGAGAGCTGCTGTGCAGGACGGCCAAAGGGCAGAGATGGGAGGGAATAGGTGGGTTGGGGGAGGAGACAGTATCTTACCTTACTGAGGCTTGGGGCTGGGAGGGACCAAGCCAGGAATGGCTTCGATCAGGTGATTCCTCCCCTAATGACTGGTGGGATTCAGTTAACAATGGCAATGGGGACTGCTGGGATTTCTGAGGATGTGGTCACTTGGCATTGCGCTTTATGCATGGCTTAGAAATGGAAATTTGGTCCCAATTACCTCTGTTAACTGAGGACTACCTGTTGAATTTGCAATTCTAATACATAGCTAGTTAGGATCAAAGTTTCCTTGTAGCCATGAAGTCTACACATCCTAGTCATGCTCACTACCTCAAAAGCTATTGTGATGATACAATGAGCAAACATCATCCTTGTAAGTCAGACTGGTAATAAGAGTATTGCAAGTCTTCAGGTATGTGACAATGCCAGAGTGGTTAGTGTGTTGCCCATAAATACCTTCCTTGGTGTCTACTAGATTCTTTGCCCATTTTATCTTTTTTTAAAGATTTATTTTAATTTAAAAGATTGGAAATGACCGTAATTGCCAGATCCTGTCATCTTATGGAAAGCCATGGTTTATTTTTTGTGCCATAGTAACTTGGTACACACATAAGAAATCATGATTTATAAATCACAATGATTTCATATAGTTATGTTAATTGAAAACCAAATAAACCACTGTATGTTTTAGAATTGTGTGAATCCAGCCTATGTTTGAGAGAGGGAGAGAGAGAGAAATATAGCTTATATATTATGAACCGGAGATGACTTGTCCTGGGTTCAGACATAACAGGTAATTATGACTATAAGGCAAAAAAAGGAAGGGATTGCTCACAAATCTAAAATTTTTCATTAAGCGGCTAAAACATATTAACACTGAACAAGCCTAGTCAGAAGTTTCCAAATTGGTTGATTGCTGTTTTTTTGGAGCCCTGCTGAACACAGAAATTTTTGTGAGAATGTTATTCAGTATATTTTTAAACTGAGTCCACCAAATATAATGCAGTTTTATCCAGTTTAGCACTATTCTTAGATATTTCCATGAAATATTAAAACTTGCTGATAGATGTGCTCTTTGTTTTATAACTTGGAACTTGCATGAAATAACCATACTGTTGCCTTTTATTCAGGTCCTGCAGAATCAGCTTGATACTTTATTGGAGGGACAAGAAAATATTAAGAGCTGTAGCAATTTTACTGCCCAAGCACTCAGTCATGGAACTGAAACTGAAGTATTACTTGTTAAAAAGCAAATGAGTGACAAGCTGAATGAGTTGGCAGACCGGGATTTCCCTCTTCAGCCCCGTGAAAATGATCAACTGGATTTTATAGTAGAAACAGAAGGATTGAAAAAATCCATTCATAATCTTGGTACTATTTTAACCACAAATGCAGTGGCTTCTGAAACAGTGGCCACAGGTGAAGGACTTAAGCAGACTGTGATAGGGCAACCAATGTCAGTCACCATCACAACCAAGGACAAAGATGGTGAGCTGTGTAAAACTGGAAATGCTTATCTCACAGCTGAGCTGAGCACACCTGATGGAAGTGTGGCAGATGGAGAGATACTTGACAATAAAAATGGCACTTATGAATTTTTATACACTGTCCAGAAAGAAGGAGATTTTACACTTTCTTTGAGATTGTACGATCAACATATTAGAGGCAGCCCATTCAAACTCAAGGTAATTAGGTCAGCAGATGTGTCCCCTACTACTGAAGGAGTTAAGAGGCGTGTTAAATCTCCTGGCAGTGGCCATGTGAAACAGAAGGCTGTAAAAAGACCAGCTAGTATGTACAGCACTGGCAAAAGGAAAGAGAATCCCATTGAAGATGATCTAATCTTCCGAGTAGGTAAGGAGTGCCTCTGTTTTAATTTTTTTGGGATTAATGCTTATAACTGTAGACAGTAGCCATAATATTATTTTAATTTTGAAAGAGACAGAATTTTTGAGAAACTAACAATATTTTAGCATGCATTCATCAGATATCCCAAAATCTTTATAGCCCACAAAACAATCATTTCTAGAAACTTGAAGACTCACTTTTTTTTCTGATGTACGGAAAAGCATATTTACATTTTTCATAATCAGTAAACAGTTTCGAAATGTGAATATCACACTGAACATCTGTATTAACTTTGAAAGAAAGGAAGAATTTACTTTGAAGACTGAAATATTGCAGTAAAAGTTGGGTGTGCGTGTTCAAGTGAGCATTCTAAATTTTTCAAGTACAAGATTGTTTCCACTATCATAAGTTTTGAGACATTTAAAATGCTGTGTAGTGTCTCACTTGAGTAGTAAAAGAAGCAATTCAGTTTGATCCAGAATCATTGAAGACTGAAAACTAGTTAAATACCTAATTGTTTTCAAAAGGAAGCATTATGGTAACATCTGAAGTGTTTTAAACATGCCTTTCCTAGTGTTGCTTTCTTGATACTCAATATTTTTGTCATATAATTTTTGCAATAAAACAGGCTGGTGGTAACAGCATGCAAGTGAGTGTTGAAAAGTCTAATGTGAGCGCTCAACTAAAAAAACATGATTTTGAACAGCTCTGCTGTTCTTTTCTAGCGTTCTTGATTATTGCTTACTCAAAATCTACTTATTTAATTAAAATTAAGTGAGATCAGTTTCATTTATTCATTTCAGTTAAATAATTGGATAGGTGTTTAGCATCTATGTTGACTGCAGAGGAAGACATTTTAAGTGTAGTCAGTACAGAAACACAGTCTGTTATGCTACTGAGTGGGATGATAATTTTTTTGCAATCTCATTGAAATATCAGCTAAGCTGTCTGATTTTTAGAAATGAGTGCATCCTACCATCTCTGTTAAGTTGGATATGTTCTTTCCAAACTTTAAAAAAAATGTCTTGAAGAACACTTGTAACAACATTGTCTTGTTGCAAGGATTTTGTTGCTAGTTGTCTACTGTAAAGTCTTTCTCTTCTCATTTCCTTTGGGCAAGTCCACACAAGTACTTTGCATTAGTTAATGATTAGTTCTGAGTGCAATTTTTCTCATGATACAATCTGTTTCTGAAGCTCAGTCAATTTATTTCAGACTTTGCTCCAATTTAGTGAAATCACAACAATTTTGGTATTTCCTTTGAATTGCTACAATTCTGCAGGCCTTTTAGGAGGCCCATATATCCTTTGGCAAGAATTCTTGTCTTACCACTTCTGGTTCTGAGCTCAAGCAAATTGTTATCCCTACCATATAATTTTAACATTTTATTCCTGGAATTTATCTCTTTGAATATACATTGCTTAAAACATGTCCCTTGCTGTTTACAACCAGCCTGTGTAGCGTCATGATCACAGCTATTAGGAAGAGCACTCAGTTGCAGAATTGTCAAAATGTTATCATTACAACTTCAGAAATCACAAGGGTTTTTAATGAAACAAAGGAATTCTGGCTGGGGAATTCTGGTAGCTGAAGTCCACATATGTTAAAGTTGTTAAGGTTGAGAAATACTGCATTAGACTGTGCTGTAGTACTATCATCAAAGATTTCATTTTTTAAAATGTAATAAGCCTCTTTTGGTATCTGCTAAATATCATTAGTGCTCCACTGAGGGAGTCTTTTACTTCCCCTCACTTATTTACTATGTCCTCAGCATGGCTCAAGGGAAATTTTGCCAGAATCCAGTGAAATAGTGCCTGTATCCCTGTGGCACTGGCCAAATGGAATGTATCATTTACTGGGTCCTCTATTATCCTATCTATGTTGAGATCAGGCATAAAACACTGATTATGGATAATCTTAACAAGTCTGATGGAGAACAATTGAATTCTCTTTTTGTTGGCTCTATTCTGTTTGTCAGCAGTCAGGTCAATACTTCTGCTATGCTCTCTTTTAAACTGAGAAAAATGTTCTTAATTATAGGATTGGTTTTAGTTAAGCTAAATTTCTAAGTGGCAGTTTTTATGTATGTTGCGTTTATTTATAATTTTCTTTTTGTGTAGAGTGGATATAAGGGATTTTTGTTATGGATATGCTTCATGCTAGCTTAGGAAATGGGATAACTATAGGATAACAGTTTTTGTACCTGTTGGTTAGCTAGAAGGTAAGGTAGGTGGGCACTGATTGGCTTGTGGTTTTCTGTGTATTTTGAGACCAGCAAAGTTGAGTTCAGTTTCAAACTATCTTGTGAGATACTGTGAGTAGAAATGTTAATGTTATGAAAATGCTCTTCATATCCAGCAGCAGAATAAAATGCAGCCAGCTAGAAAGACTTGAGAGTTTTTAATTTTCTTTTTTCTTGCAGATATTTACTTGACTTTCTTTCTAATTTGGTTTGTGTTCTTATCTTTTCTATTTTGTTTTGTTTTAGGTACCAAAGGGAGAAACAAAGGGGAATTTACAAATCTTCAGGGAGTAGCTGCATCTACAAATGGAAAAATATTAATTGCAGATAGCAATAATCAGTGTGTGCAGGTATGATTTTTGTTTTGTTTCTCCTTTCAAACTTTTTATGAAATGCACAGGACTCACCACATGTATTAAAGAAATATATATCCGAAGTACCAGAATTTCAGGGATCATTGTGGTTGATGCTGTGGAATTAATAATTATGTTAAATTTGAAATACAGCTCAAGTTGGAAGTATGCATTAAATTCTAATGAATCCCAAGCGTAATTAGGCTAGTTCTGACCACTTTTGAGGCTCCCAATTTTGAATTATCATCTCCATTATCATTAGAACTGCAGCAGAACTATCTAGCCCATCATTCATGATATTGGGCTTCCAAGCACTGAAGAAAGAAAACATGTTCCTTTTGATACTCAGTAAATGCCAGGGTGGGGAGATGGAGGGAGGGAAAGGAGTGAAATAATGAACAAATTTATTTTCTAAGTAAAGGCAATAATTAATATGGGACTCTTCAAAGCTGCAGAAAGGAGGGACACTGAGTCTTTTATTTTCCTTCAATGTATGGAATTTGATAAAACATAATAAGTTTAAGAAGCACATCCTAGCTTCTTTTTTTAAAAAATCAGCATTTAAGGCACTAGCATCCTTCAGTCTGTTTCTCTAAATATATGCAGATGTTATCTCAAAAGAAGTTACAATACCTGCAAATTTTACCCAAATGTTATCTCAAAAAATAGAAGCAGATGTTATCTCAAAAAATAGAAGGATTACAGCCAATTGTTGTTTTCATATTCTAGTTAATGGGAGACATGATGCTTCAGGTTTTGGAATGTTGCTTTAAGCTTGGATTCAGAATCAGATTGGGCGGTTTTTAAAATCTTGCAGCCAATCAAGACTCAAAGCTATTTTGCATGCAATATTCATTTACATCCATGATTATCCTTTTTTCTAAATATCGTAGAGCTACATTCCAGGTAGTTTACCATCCAGGTATTAGCCAAAGCCATAAGTTATTATCTTCAGAAGGTGAATGATTTTAGGCATATGTAGAATTAGACTATATGTCTGCCGTTTTACAACATTATTACAGTGAGAGATTTAACAATTAGGAGCGTGCACAAATGTATTAAGAACCTCTGAATTCTGTTGAAAATACTTTTGAATGCTTATTGAATTACCAAATGCTGCTTAATTAAAGACCAGTTCTCTCTAAAGCCTGATAGTTTGAACTCTAAGGTAGAAATCCTATTCACCTGCCTCTTTGGTGGTGGTGGGGTGTGAAAATGGGTTCAGTATAACTGTTATTTTTCTTGTGTACAGTGGAACCTCGAGTTATGAATTTAATCCGTTCCGTGACTCTGGTTGCAACTCGAATTGGTCGCAACACGAGGCAAATTTTCCCATAAGGTTCAATGTAATTACCGTTAATCTGTTCTGGCGCCCACGGACCACGGGTCAGGGGCGTAAAAATGGCCGCGGACCACGTGGCACGGGTGGAAAATGGCCGTGGACCACGCGGCAGGGTGGAAAAACGGCCGTCGACCACGTGGAACGCGCCGAAAGATGGCCGCGGACCACGTGGAACGGGCAGAAAATGGCCGCAGACCACATGGCACGGGCAGAAAAATGGCTGCGGACCACGTGAAACGGGCAGAAAATGGCCACAGATCCAGTTCGTAAGTCGAGGCAAGTTTGCAAGTCGAGGTAAATTTTTGGGGCTGGAGCTGGTCGTATCTCGAAAAATTCGTAAGTAGGGGCGTTTGTAACTAGAGATACCACTGTACTTTTATTTTTTAGCCTCACTGGGTTTTAGAAATATGTTCCATTGTTTTTGTAATGTTGAGTGCAGTGGGTTGTTCAGATCCCATTCAGGTGACAGCTGTCTTTAAAAAAAAGCATTGCCAAATTTGGAATATTTTGAAAAAAAAACACAGCATGATAAACTGGGAGCAGTTGACTGAAAGGAAAATTGGCAATTATCCATTGCTGCATGAGTCTGTTCAGATTACAGATTTCCCCCCCCCTGCATACAAATGTGGACTACTGTTATGTGATGTTAGAAGATAAACATCACATAACAGTAGTTTAATAATAAATAATGTTATTGATAGGGAAAAACATGAACAAAGCTGCTTATAAACCTAAATAATTTGAAATGCTATTTCCCTGCTCATTCATTCACGTATTCATGTCACTACACTTTTGGATACCAAGCCCATAGCAAACAGAATATAAGATGGAGAACATGCATTTGTCCTGAAGCTTGTTCATAGCACAGTCTTCACTGATCTAAAGCTTTTATAGGCAATTCTTTTTAGGTACATAATGATCATATTGGATCCAAACAGATTGTTTTAGTTTTGAATGGTTCCCATTCTTGTCCACAAGCTGGTTGTATACTGGGACTTGCTTATTCTAGGAATCCATCCAGCTAAATCATTACATGCCAGAGAACCTAAGGGGCACTTCTGTAGACCACTTGTACTTAGTGCTGTTTATTTGTGGCTGTTCAGAGTTCTGCTTTCCACTGTAACGGTGACCTTCTTTAGCAGCTCATTTGATTCACTGAGTTTCTTCCCAATTTTCCCTTCATCTATAGTTTCCAACCGCCCTCCTTATCAGGTTTGCATAGCAAACAGTCTTCTTCTCTAAAATGTTTATATAAACATTTCAATAGTACTATAACACTGAAAAACTAAAGGCTTGAATTTCACATTTTCTAATACATAACCAATTTACCTGATGCTTAGTATCTTCTAGCACATGTCCTTATAGCAATATGTACATAATGGTCAAGGATTTATTTCTGGGCTGGGTATAAATAGTCCAGTGCCATTGTTACCAGACTAGTCACTACTAACGTTAGCACACGTTACTGCATAGCATTAACTCTTAATTCAACCCACTCTTGGATCACTCATTATGTTTCCATCTAATCTACTCCGTAGGTTGGTTTTTAAATAAGCATTACAAAATAAGTAAAAGCCATGAAGGCTACCTTGAGCTTCATAAAGAAAAGGTGGGATATAATGTAATAAATATAGCTTTCAATAAAATGTGTTGTTCCTCAATCCCCCCCCCCCCCAATATTCAGCATGCAGTGATCACTAAGTATGGTCAATCTTGGTTAGGTTGTTTTGGGGATCCTCCTCCTATTTGTGCCTTAAAAAACAGTTGTACTTCTACAGATCATGGGGTATCTCTAAGCCAGGTGATAGGGTGATGTTGTTTTGGCTAAGCAACAACACTTATAGCCTAAGTGTCAGAACCATGGACACTTTGGTATTCAACCACTTTGTAAATGCATGAGCTTCCTCTTCTCTTTTCTTAAGGCAAATGCATGTTGCGCGTGGAATATTTTCCTGATCCTAGATGATGAGAGGAAGTAGAATTCCATATGCATATCAAAGGCTTGCCAGTGTTTGCCAGGCGTTTCAGCTGAATCATGAAAATGATTGTACGAAAGTTGCTATTGCTTTTTTTTTTTTTTTTAATGATAGATATTTTCCACTGATGGCCAATTCAAGAATCGTTTTGGTGTACGGGGAAGATCTCCTGGTCAGTTACAGCGGCCTACTGGAGTAGCTGTGCATCCCTGTGGTGATATCATTATTGCAGATTATGATAACAAATGGGTTAGCATATTCTCTTCTGATGGAAAATTTAAGGTAGGTTTAAACTCAAAATGTAAAATACAAGGAAATTCATTTTCCTTTTTTTAAATTAATAGTTAATGGGCTGGTGAAAGCTGGTGGAGGGATATAATTGGCAGAACTGGTATTCCTCCTATATTGACTGAAGAGATGGCAGTGAAGAGTGAAAATACGGCTGTTTATTGTGGGATTAAGGGGAGGAAAGAATCCAATAATTGTCAGGATCTGATGGCTTTTTTAAATTGACACTTGCATTAATTCACTCCAGAATATTCTCCACATTTGAAGACAGTAAAAATAATGAATACCAGAGGAATTTTGGACTTCAAGATTTAATTAGAGAGTTAACCCTAAATACATTGTGATTGACCACTGAGTAATGGTCAGTGAGTGCTATGAAGTCTTAGTTTGTCCTTCCCAACATTATGAAAATACTTCATTTGAATTGTAATCCTATACAGAACATGCTTAGTACAGAGATAGCAGTGCACACGAAGTTACTTCTGAATAAATGTGTTTAGGAGTACACAATTAAAGGGGTTTCCTTGATATTGCTGACTCATTGAATACATAAAAGTCTCAACACAATGAAGACTAATCTCTGGCAAATGGTTAAGAAGACACAGCCTTTATATGGAGAGGCATTTTTTTTAAATGCCAATATTTTCTTTTTGCTTGTGATACAACAAAGTGAACTGAAGCTGTATATGGAGCTGCCTCCCCCAGTACTTTTGGACTGTGGTTGGTCCCTCTGGGAATTCTAAGAGTTGCCATCCAGATACATCTCAAGGGCATCAGATTGGGGAATACTGATACAGGCTGCATTCACATAACAGTGAAGCCAGGATTATGGTGTGCAACATTTAGTGGTCTAATGGTAGATTCATAATTAGTGAGTTGCACATCATGTTAAACCAAAAACAAACATGTGAACCATGTTTTAAAATATGATAGAAAAGAAAGAAACATGATCAGAAGCCTCCTGAGTGAAGAATAGGGTGTATATTCAGTACTGAGTTTCTTGTTTTTACTAGATTTTAAAACCTCCACATATATGAAATACTATAATGAAAGTGTTTACTGTGAAAATATTAATATTGATCTCCTTTGCGCACTACTGAATTACAGGTCGAACAGCTGTGCATTAAGAATTGTATCAGGAAGCAGCTGATTTTCTATAAACATGCATGTTTACTTTCTTAAGAATGTAGAGGTAAAACTAAACTTCACTTAGTAATAATATTAAATTAAAACAATATAAAACAGTGTAAAAATATATTTACTAGAAAAAATTACAGCATCAGCATGATTAACAGTTCAATATGGCAACAAAGACTCTTAAAAAGAGAAAACTGTTTTTGTACAACACACTGATCAAGTGTGAATGTATGCAATTCCACTGGGTTGCTCCTCCTACCCAGTCCACTACAACTTAAAAGCAGCTGATGCATAATGGATAATGGATAATTTAATGGATAATTTAATATTTGTTGCTCTAACAAGGCTGGAAGTCATGATAGTCGACAAATTTTTATTTATTTATGTTCATATCCTGGCTTTTACTCAGGAGCAGAAGGTGTTATGCATAGTGTTCCCTCATCCTTTTTTTATGTACAACAGCAACCCTGTGAGGTAGGTTGGGCTGAGAGGTAGTGAGTGGCCCAAAGTCACCCAGTGAACTTCCATGACTTGTCTTAACCACTACATCACACTGGCTTGATCTCAAAAGTAGCCTCACCAGTTGCTCAGCTTTTTGGCTTCTCTTCCTCAGTGGAAGGAGAAATCAACTGGACAATTGGACAAACTCATCATAAGCCATATCCAGGATCCTTTGTTTAAGAACTGCCATATCAATCTTTATTACAGACACTGACCAACCAAAAAAAAATCCGAGACCAAAAATAAATGATAGGACATAATGTCAGCCCTCTGAAATAGTTCAGACAAGAAGCACAAATTATGAGTACTAAGACTACCCTTATTGTAAGGTTACAATAACAGAATCTTGCAAGTCTTAAAGCATTTCTCCCCTACTTTACTTTTACTTTCCATAAAACTTGGGAGACGCTTCCCATGCCCCTTTTCCTTCTATGGGCTGAGTTACCTTTTGCATGATGGCTGTCTAGGCTGCAGCCCTTCTTTCTGCCTCCCAAGGTCATTTCCACATATCATTACTTATAACAGCATCTATGAAATTGAGTACTTTGCAAGTATATGAAATTAAAGTCTGATTATATGATAGCATGGGAAGTTATATATAATTGTTGATTAAGGAGTTCTTACATAATTGACTATACCACTATATAATCTGCCTTTATCATTTATGAGATAAAAACAAAAGCTAAATAAGACTGTCATCTGTTGCTGGAGCCTGCCAACAGTCACACAAAATATTGCAACTCTATACAATTCATTATAATCCTGATGAGATGAAGTCCATTGCTGAAAGTTGGGAGCCTAGCAAGAAGAGTCTTCATAGACAGGGCAACCAAGAATGTAGACATTTGATATACTCTAGACTTTTGATATGTTCTATAATAGGCTCTCCATCACTGATTCTAATTAAGAAGATCAATATTGGAGAAGCTGCCCTTCAGATATTCTGATATCAACCACAGAGAACTTTAAAAGTCAACACTAGTGCAGAAATCAATGGAAGACTAAGGAAGCTGTTATAGCAGAATTTTCTGCTCTTTATAGGTATCTCTGGAGAATAATTTCCTGTCATGTTCTGGACCTGCTGAAGTTCCAGACTTTTTTCAAAGGCAGCTTCATTTGGACTTGCATACAAAATAAGAAGTTTCTAAGGCATGTGTTCCTGTGACTAGATACATTTATCGAAAATAAATTTAATCTATCTTTGCTTCCCTAGGCAAAAATTGGATCAGGAAAACTTATGGGGCCAAAGGGTGTTTCTGTGGATCGCAATGGACACATTATTGTAGTGGACAACAAAGCGTGCTGTGTGTTTATCTTCCAGCCAAATGGGAAAATAGTAACCCGGTTTGGAAGCCGAGGCAATGGAGATAAACAGTTTGCAGGTAGCAATTGTTGGTTAATACATAATACTCTTTTATGTTCTACATATGGTTCAGTGGTATTGAACCCTAGATAGACTAAAACTGAATGATTCATTACTTTCTTAAAAATGTGGTGCAATAAAACCAGAATATAAATACAAATAATAATACATAAAATAATATATTTTGTGATATAATGTGATATGATATATCTTAAATTAATCTTAAATTATGTGCAGCAGTCTATGATTTTGGGCTAGCTTTGCTTACCAGGCTAAAATTGATGTCTTCAGCCCTGCAAAAATCTTTCCAGAACCGAAGGAGGTTGGAATGGGGAGTGTAGCACTGTTGGCCCTGCTTCTTGAATGTCTCCTACATTTTCTTTAGCAACATCATTTAGCTGTCTTCCCACCAAACATATTAATCCATTCAGATTACAGCAGTATCAAATGAATGAATGAATTTCTCTGGCTCTGGAGCAGGAAAGACCAGCTGGAAGCTTGCCAGACCAACTATCCTATAGTCAAGGCTTTTCCAAACGCTTTAACTATGTCACTACTAACCATCATCAGTGTACCTTCTAACTGGGAACTAAACAAGGGATTGGAATCTTCAGATTTGCATGGAAGTCTGCTTTATTAAGTTCTGCGAAGGGTGACATCATATTCCACTTGAATTATTAAAACCTGTGTTATAGTCTGCTGCTAGAATCGGTGGCATGAATTTAAAAGGTATAATAATAGCCTTCCCAATCTAATGAGTTGTAACTGAATATTACAGATATTAGTAAGTATCCAAGAAATACGTATCTTTCATTCTCATTAGACTGTTGTATACTGAATACATATTATTTTTATAACATAATTATTTAAGTATGCAAGCTAATTTGAGATAGGTTCCAAAGTACAATACTGTTCATTGCTTGCATTTTCTGCTTAGTAATCTTGTTGTTGATGTTATAGTTAATGTTTAATCATTTGGGGAAATAACAGAGTTCTGTGGCAAATGCAGCCATCTTGATTAGGTACCAATCACTAGTTGAAACATTTCAGGTAACTATAATTTTACATCCTAAATTTTATTTTATGTTCTGAAACTGGATATTTTTCAGTGCATAATTATCTTTTAAGCTTTTCTTGCATGTAAAAAAAAAGTTTACTGGGAACATTATAGAGATGCCGTGTAATGTCAGGCACAGAGTTGTACAAACAATTGCAAGATGAAATGGCTAAGTAGTAGAGTTCATGTAAATTTATTTTATTTGCATGCACTGAAAATACTTTTTTCAAAGTTATTCAGTTTTCTCCCACTCCACCCCTAGATTCTTTTAAATTATTTTAAATCTGAAGAGAGTAAAAGTTACATTTAAATCACATTATTATTATTAATAGTGGTACGAACATTTAGGGGATATACCAGCGTCTCTGATTTTTTTTTCCCCCCACAAAAAGTGATTGAAGCTTAAAAATGAGAAATGTTGGTCTCTCCAAGCTCATTTTAAAAATCTGGAAGTGAGGGTGGCATAGAGGTGTACAATACGTGTACTTCAAATTTTGATTTACATCCCTGGTTTATTTATGCAGAACAGCAGTGCAGACATTTGTATTTGCTGATCTGCATAATCAGATTTTAATGATTTTATTAATGATAAATAATAAATGTTATGTTGATTTTTTTTGCTGAAGTTTTGAGTGATATGTATTGCTGGTATGGCTTAGACCTAGAATTTTAATGTGGAAGTAAAACCATGCCCTGTTTTTGTCTCCAGAAAAATAGGTATATTTATTTGATGGAGGGAAGGGGGAGACAACTGTATTGATAAAATTAATTTTTTTATTATGTGCTTTATGCATAACAGGGATATGCAAGTGTATATCTGTCCTGGTTTATCATGTCATTGAGTGGTTCCTACTACTTCTGGGAACTTTTCACAATTATCTTGCTGCAAATGGTCTATTGTGCTTCACTGTTAAATACTACTAGACAACCCATGACTTGTTGGGTCATAATTTCAGAGATATTTCCTTACTTAAACACAGAAACAGAATGACCAAGGGCAAAAAAGCAGTGGGAGTATTAATGACTTATGACTTGCTGCCGGCTTCCCCATTGACTTTGCTTGTGGGAAGCTGGCAGGGAGTGTCAGAAATCTCCCTCCCTCCATCCCTCCCTCCCTTGGATAATATAGGCTTGTGCCATTTGCCATCCCCCAACAACCCTCAGGAGAGCTCCAGTGAAGCCGCCGCCTCCTCCGTGGCTGACCCATGGAACTGCCTGCCACTGTGCTGGGTGAAGGCAGAATGAAGGGAGCTGTGGATTGCAAGGAAAACTGCACCCCCGCTCTTCATTCTGGTGTGTCCCCAAGGGCCCCCTCCCTTGAAGGAGGAAGAGGGACACCTGTCGACTGCAAGCACCCCCCAACCAGCCCTACCTTGCCAGCAGGCATCTGAGCCACTCCCTCGTCCTTCCCTCAACACCCACTGCTGTTAAGAGATTTCAGATTTCGGCCTTGGTTCCAAAGCAGCCAATGGCTGCTTTCCCATCAGGCCTTGCTGCCAGCCAACTGGGTGCAGGGGCCAGAGGGAGGCAGGAAAGAGGTTGAGGGTCCCTCCCTCCCTCATATAAGATATGCTTGCGCCATTTGCCCTCCCCTCATGACCCTCAGGAGAGTCCCGGTGAAGCCTCTTCCTCCTTGGCTGATCTGCAGAACTGCCTGCCACTTTGCTGGGGAGAGGTAGAACAAAGGGAGCCACAGACCTTGAGGAAAACTGCATCCCCTGCTCCCCATTCTGGCAGGCCCCCAAGGACCCCCTGCCTCGAGGGAGGAAGAGAGTTCACCTGTCAGCTGCTGGTGCCCCCCAGCCAGTCCTACCTTGCGAGCAGGTATCCAAGTCACTCCGTCATCCTTCCATCAACACCAGCTGCCATTAAGAGATTTCAAATTTCTGCCTCATTTCCAAAGCAGTCAGTCACCACTTGCCCATCGGGCATTGCCGCCAGCTGATTGGGCACAGGCCAGAGGGAGGCAGGAAAGAGGTCAGGGATATGCCCATGATGATCACATGACCTGGGCTGACTGCAGTGGCGCAGCAGTGCTGAAGTGAACACAAATTTCACAAATTCAATCCCACAGGAGTCAAGGGTCCTGGATTTTGGATGCATTCTGTAAGTTAGCCCACTTGAGGTAACATTGGTTCAAAAATTGTTGCCGTATGACACACCGTTTCACCCAGTTGAAGGTTACAAGCACAAGAGTTTTAGTAGTACATAGATGATTCAACTTACTTTGCCAAGAAATGTACCTTTAAAACAAGATAAAAACTTCCAAATAAAATAATAAAATAGGAAGTCCCACACTTTCAGTTGACTAACATGGCTTGAAAAATGGTCTAGTGCTAAATAAAAGAGGATTCTAATTTTCCTTCCAACTTCATTAGGACTTGCGGAAAGGTAAAGGAGCAATCACTGAGATGCAACCTGACTTTTGTGGTTTGGTGCCATTCCCTATGGCAGTGGAAGAAACAATGTGATACTTCCTTTATTTATTAGATTTCAAAGTCCTAGGTGTTTGGAAAAGAATTCCCATTCCTTTGTTTTTTTTAAACTGAGTTGTAAATGGCCTTGTTTAATATTTATTTATTTATCAAATTTTGAGACTGCCCAACTCCTGAACAACTCTGGGTGGCTTACCATTAAAAAACAAAACATACAGAAAGAACACAATTGACCAGAAGAACAAAACATCAACCGTAACATAAGGATGGGAACCACATAGATCTCTGTTGGGGGGAGCTCATTCCAGAGGGCAAGTACTGCCACAGATTAGGGACATTTCATGAGTCCTGCACACCACCCTGCTGGACTGTACTGGATGAGCAGAGACAACTGGAGATGAGAGATCCCTTAGATAGCTAGGCCCTATATCATGAAGGGGTTTAAAAATGATAACCTTTAGCATACAATATTAACATATGCTAAAAACTAAAAATCTGACATTGGAAGAAGCCCCTCAAGCTGGTTTGAATATGGCAAGTAGCTATATACTCTCTAAAGTTATTGTATACTTTCCCAGATTCATATTTTTGGTGAGTTAATAGCTGCTATATTCTAAATATATTGGCTTGGCTTCTAAGTGTTACACCATCTGGCACTGTGGAGGCACTCCTCCCAAGCATATGTTAGCTTGAAAAAATAATTTTTGTCAAGTCGTTTTAAAAAATAAAGTTCTACATTAAATAGGATAGCATTCGTATATTCATGTCCATACTCAGTTTTAGGGTAGCAGAGTAATAGGTAGTGGCAACAGGAACTGTCTTCCAGGCATGACTTACCCAGTGTCTACCCCATAACTCTGATGTATTGATAGATGTAACTGTCGTTACCTATGCTGCCTTTCTGATGATTTCAAAATTTAAAAAACTGGAAAGAATTTAAGTAGCACAGTCTGTAGTTATGTAGGTAGAGGCATGGTATCTAGAGTAACCTTGGGAAATAGATCAATCTGACAAAGAAAATCTGGTAGAAAATCCAGTGGTGCGCCTCTGCTCTATAACAACATCAGATACAAAGTTACAAATTAATACTACTAACTACAAGAAGATCTTACAGCGGAAAAGATATTTCCTGGAATCCAGCCTGAAGTATGGTATAAAGGCTGTAAATTGAACACCCAGTTTCATAATTTGTACAGATAAATAAAAGACAGGAGTCAAACAAATCAAATTTTCTATGCAAAGTCTAGACTAAATCGTTTATTTCTACAGGAATATAAATTTACGTAGCAAAAGTTATCTGCTTCATATTCCTGAATTTTTCCCAGATTCATGGAAATTCCAAAATTAATCAGAGACTCTGGGAGACAATGGTAGCTTCATGTTCTTACTAACCTTGATACACAGAATTCAATGGAGTTCTGCCAAGTTCTGCCTTTTGTTTTAAAGCAACTAGATTAAACAATATGGTGGTAGTAGTATGTGTGCCTTTAAGTCAGTGTTGACTCCTGGCGACTGCCTGGACAAGCCCCTGCAGTTTTCTTGGCAAGATTTCAGAAATGGTTTGCCATTGCCTGCTTCCTAGGCCTGAGTGGGAGTGACTGGCCCAAGGTCACCTGGCTGGCTTTGTGCCTAAGATGGGACTAGAACTCATAGCCTCTTGGTTTCTAGCCTAATGCCTTAACCACTACACCAAACTGGCTATACTGCTACTACCACTATTCTATCAAAGTAGATGGAGGAATATTTATGTCTAAAAAACATGCTTATCTTTGTCAGATGAGAATGATGTGCTTTTTGGGTTTAGATTTCTTTCTACTTCTAAGTAGATAGTTCCCATCATCATCTCATCTTTCTCTCTTGTACTGCTCTTTATTTACCTTCCTGTATTTATTACAGGCCCTCATTTTGCAGCTGTCAACCACAATAATGAAATTATTATTACTGATTTCCACAATCACTCTGTCAAGGTATGATGCTGCTAGTTCTTTGAACTTTTTGTATTCATTTTATTTATAGTCCCAGACCAATAAAGAACTTTTTGTAAAAGAACCATTAACAAGAACAAAAGCTGGTACTCCAGTCATAATTAACTTTACAGATTACGTTAAAATAATAATTAGTGTGTATTAAGTAACCAGTTCTTTAACTGTAATGATGAAGGGATGATGTGATTGATACTTTGCTTTTATGTTAAGATAATATATTCTTTGTTTTAGTTCCAAGAAATACAATAAATGTTCCTCAAATTCATTTTGCACAATAATTGTGATATATTACTATACACTGATTTTAATGTTTAGAGAGCTTTGTTCAATTTAGATGACCAAGTATTCAAATTACCCTTGAATACTTAAATTATAATGGAGCTTCAGTATTTTTTTTTTTCCTTCCTTCTGGGTCCCTCTCTCCATTTTTCTGTTATAAGTCTGAGGATGCTTCTAAACAGAACAATGAAATACAGCACTTTAAATATAACAATAATGTATTAAACACAAAGACCAATTCTGTGAATGAAAGGTTGTGCTGTAAGAGAAGCCTACTATAGAGCTCCATTAAGCTTTATAAAAGTTTATTATTTGAAATTAAATAACCACTGAAGAATGTAGACCATTCTTCATTGTCTTCCAGAATTAGGCAGGAAATAATTGTTTTTTGGTTTGGATTAAAAGGAAGAAATTGAATTACAAGAGTGGACATTGAGCAGGCTCCTGGCATACTTTAGCAGCTGGAGAGCAGTGCTGTTGACAACTGTATGCTGTTAGAAGCAGCAGTTGTTCAGTTGTGCAGGATTTCCTAATTTGACAGGAATGGTTGGTTTTATGGCCAGATTCCAACACATGACAAAATAAAAAAGGTAGATAATTTTTTGAAAAATCAGAATGTACTGCTGTCTTTGAAAAAAAAAATTGAAGGATGCTCCTAATTAAGTTCTTAGTTCTAATCTACAAATTTCACACTTCCCTATGGCCTAATTGTAACTAATATTGTCCTCCCCCCTAAACAGGATTGCAAAATATTGCAATGGACAACATTTTAACCTTTTTGGCAACTTGCCAAAAGGTTATGCTTTTTAGTTCCAGGAAACCTTTTTTGAATTTTGTATTATATATTACAAATATATATTACATATTATATTATATATTACAATATATATATAAAAAGAAACTTAAAATAATATGGGAGCAAAACTGACAAAAATTGACACTACATTTCATTTCAGTGTTATGGTCTCTAATATGTAATATCCAAAATAAAAGGCAATGGAAATGTGAAATATTAGTTTTTTCCAAAGTATCCGTAATTGTATTGAATATTTTTCATGAAGCCAACTAATCTTTTTTGCAGGGTTTGGCCATTTTTTATCTTTATAAAGTAACTTTAATTTGGGAAATGTCCAAAAAGGATTATTCTGGCAGTCACTGATTTCATGTTCCTGACTTCTGTTGCATATGACATTTATGGGAACCAAGGTGATTTCTAGTTATCCAACATAATTGGTCTTTACAGTATAAGCTCCCTGATAAGCTTTTCAGCAGATCTCGAAAATATAGTTTACAAACTACTGCTATTAACCCATGAGCATCAATCTACCTAAATAGTCCTTTTTAATTATAGACATAAATTCAAAATCTTATAACACTACCAAGAACTCTGTATGTTAGCAGCTGTAAAACATGGCACCAATTTGTTGAGAGTCAGGTGGCATAGATTTAATTTTTTATTATTATGGCTGGTCGCATAGTCAGCCAGATGTTTAGACTGGATTTGACGTTTTTATTTTCATCATAATTTTTGAAAATCTGTTCTTGCAAAGTTACTATAGTTTTTTCCTCTACAGATAATTTGGTTTCTGAAGGGAGAGAAGTGTCTTAAGTGTTGTATTTAAATGTCACGCAGGTATTTAACCAGGAAGGTGAATTCTTGCTGAAGTTTGGATCTAATGGAGAAGGAAATGGACAGTTCAATGCTCCAACAGGAGTAGCTGTAGATTCTAATGGGAATATTATTGTAGCAGATTGGGGAAATAGTCGAATACAGGTAAATAATATTTTCCTTTTAAGTCAGTGGGTACGCGTTACTTGAGATGGGTGAGAATTCTTATCTAGTCTCCAGGGTGAATTCATATTATCATGTCCTGCAGGAGTTCTCAGTATAATGCAGTATGCCCATAAATACTTCCCTTGGTGCCTGCAAGGCTTCCTTGTTCTCCTGTGTTTTTTTTAGTTTGTTTGATTACTGGAAGATGACCATGCAGTAAAATGAAACAACTTTATGTATCCTCTTTGTTACCAAGAAAGCCACTGAGTCCTTTGAGGATAATTATGGTTTCTGTGCTGAAACATGCTCAGTATGTGTGCGTGCATGAGTGTGCGTGTGTGTATGTATGTAATTTATTTATCCAATTTATATATCCACCCATCTCAAATATATCAGACTGGGTTGCTTACAAACAATTAAAAACAATTTAAAAACACCAAAACAACACAACAATTTAAGAACAATAAAACCATACAACAAAATTCATAGGATGGAGGTAATCACATCGATCAATAATAATCAATACAGCCACTGTACAGGCTTTACCACACTCCCAGGTCCCCCCAGCCATTTGCAAAACCAGATTTTCAGGGCCTTGTGAAAAACCCGCGGAGTCTAGGCCAATCATATCCAAGGGTATAATATATGTACATTAGCTACAGCATATAAAATTATGGATTTTATTCTTTGTCTTCACTATATTCTTTTAATCTAATTCACAGGTTTTTGATGGAAGTGGATCCTTTTTATCCTATATAAATACATCTGCTGATCCACTTTATGGCCCTCAAGGTTTGGCTCTTACCTCAGATGGTCATGTTGTAGTTGCAGACTCTGGGAATCACTGCTTCAAAGTCTACAGATATTTACAGTAATGGCTGGAGTTGGATCACGCTTACAAAGTTACTAGCTGCTAAAGGCCAGTGTAGATAACCTTCTGCTTCTTAAGTATTTCTTCTATTTCTTAAATATTTAAAATTTAAAACTGAAGGATCTCCAGTACTTTCATTCTTTTATTTTATTCCAGACCTACCTTGTTTACATAGGATTTATATGCTCTGCACTGAACTTATCACAAGGATTATTAATAAATAAGACCCTACTTCCCCCTACCACCCCCCCCAAAAAAACCTCATAAATCCAGTGGAATACTAGAGATATAAACTGTGGCTTGTAAAGCAGACATTTATATATATATATGACTGGATATATTCATGAAGGAGGGAGTGGATTTAAGAAGATACTTGATTTAGAGGGATTTATTTAAGTGTGAATGGGAGCAGTTGTTTAAATTTTCACATTTGAAAATTCTTACTATTAATAATGATTTAATCCAGCAGGACATCTGGGAATATTCTAGATCACATTGTTATAGTAGGTATTTCACTTGTATAACATTATTCAGACTTACTTAGTTAACTTTAGTAAGTAGTTCCTTTTAGTTAAAAAAAAATGTGAGTAACCCTTTCTGTGTTAATTGGCAGACCCAACAACTTAATTTTTAGCATTATAAGAACAAACAGAAATTTCCTGTGCTGTGTGGATTGATGTACATATTTAGCAACTTTTCTACTGCCCAATATCTTGTTGAGATTTTCTTGAAACCTGAAACTTTACTCTGGAAATGTAGGATAATGTAACTGCTGATAGTTTGTAGAATAAAGTTCCAGTTAACAGGCTAATTCATTAGAAAATTTGGTGACTGTTATATCAGTTTAGCTAATTTCACAACTGACATTTATGCTTCATATAAGTTCTTACAATGATTATGAAAGCAGTCTATTTTATTCAATTGCTTGTTTTTGCACAGGAAAACAGGCCTTATGTGTATCCCATTAGAAGACTTGTCTTGTTATAACCAAAGGAAGTTTGGGTAGGTGACAGATTTTGGGGTAGAAGTCAAGGGTTACCAAAGCAGGGTGTTTTTTGTTTGGTTTTTTAAATTTCAAAAATATTGTTGACTGTTGTAACAATATACATACATGGAGGATATTGAAGAGACTTAATTAGTGTGAGGCTACATTGGGATCATAATTTTCATCATAATATATGTGGATAATGTGAACATTTTTAAAAAAGAATTATAACTATAGGCATTTTTGATGTACATGTTTAGCAATTTTCCTAGTGCCATTTCCTGAAACCTGAAATTTTACTTCTAAAGCAACTGAGTTTCTTCTGTTATGCCTGCTTCTTGGTACACGTCTTGTGATTTCCAGTTAACCGGATTCACATCAGAGCACAAAGTATGTTTAAAAGGCATAATTTTGAATGATATTTAGACCAAGTAAGAATAAAACTGCAAACAGCAAATGATGTGATACAATTTTTTTACCACCAGCTTTATGCAGGTACTAGTCAGAATGTTGTCAACATCTGAAATAATCTTGTATTTATTTCAATTATGATGTCATCTAAATATTTCTCAGCTACAGTACTGGAATAGATGGAGCCCAATATCTTATTTAAAATACTGAAATAATAGATCTAATTGGAAGAAATAAAATAAATTATGTAGTTAATACTGGTGCTAGTTAGTTGCCTATGTTTTGAAATATAACACTGTTAAATTTGAAAGAAGGAAAATGATTAAGTCACTCTTTCCTAAAGTAATGATAAATATTGTTTTAATCCTTAACCAATAATTTCAAATAATATTATAAAACTATTGTCTTAAAAGGAATAATGCCAAGAATCTAATTTAAGAGTTCTTGGATAGACAAAGAAATGTCTGCAAAGGCAATATACACTAGATATTATTTGTCCTGGACACTGAACCCAACTTAAAAGCTGTTTGAATTCTAGGGGGAACTGGATTTACTATTATGTTTTTATGTATATTTATTAATCATATGAACAACAACAAAAATTGTAATTGTTACTGA